TGCTATGCCTTTGACTCGCGAATTAGCCTCCGAAAGTCTCGTATCTAGTCATAATTAATTCGATTCAGTCAATACAATTTATTGGAATTTATTCCATATGAAAATACAAAATTTCCAACAAAATCCGAAATTTAACTCAAAAATCACGCGTGGGGCACACGTCTCGGAATCCGACGAAACTTACAAAATCCGATAACCCATTCAATTATGAGTCTAACCATACTAGTTTCACTCAAATTCGACTCCGAATCGACATTGAAATCTCAAAAATTCGTTTTATGAGATTTCTACAATTTTTCTCAAATTTCCGTCTCAAAACACTGATTAAATGGTGAAAATAATGATATATTCGTGTATATTGACCAAATCCGAGTTAGAATCACTTACCCCGATGTTTTTCCTTGAAAATCTCTCAAAAATCGCCTCTCCCCAAGCTACAATTCATCAAAAATAGAAAATGGGACGAAATCCCCTTTTTATAACTTGAAGTTTCTATCCAGGCGTGCCCCCGGTCGCTGCCCCTAATTCCTGCCCCCGATACAGGCATCAGAAAAAATTTCAGTAGCTGTTTAAGTCCAAATTTTGATCCGTTAACCATCCGAAACTCACCCGAGGCCCTCGAGACCTCAATCAAATACACCAATAAGTCCTAAAATATCATACGAACTTAGTCGAAACCTCAAATCACATCAAACAACGCTAAAATCACGAATCATACCCCAATTCAAGCTTAATGAAACTTAAGAATTTCCAACTTCTACATTCGATGCCGAAACCAAACAAATCAATTCTGATTGACCTCAAATTTTGCACACAGGTCATAAATGACATAACGGAGCTATGAAAATTTTCAGAATTGGATTTCGACCCCGATATCAAAAAGTCAACTCCCCAGTCAAACTTCCAAACGTAAATTCCTATTTTAGTCATTTCAAGCCTAATTTAACTACGGACTTCCAAATAAAATTTCGGACATACTCCTAAGTCCAAAATTACCATACGGAGCTGTTGAAATTATCAAAATTTTATTCCGGGGTCGTTTACACATAAGTCAATATCCGATCAACCTTTTCAACTTAAGTTTTCATTTTGGAGAATAAGTGTCTCAATTTATTTCGAAATCTCTCTGGACCTGAACCGACTACCCCGACAAGTCACATAACAGCTATAAAGTACAAAATGAGCACTAAATGGGGGAATGGAGCTACAACTCTCAAAACGACTGGTCAGATCGTTACATATTCCAAAAGGAGTTTCCTTCAAAAGTGCTTAAAGGCAGCTTTGTATTTGTATTTATTGGAATTCCATTAATTCAAACATCCTCACTTTATCAGTTTTTTAAATCAAGGCCTTCAATTCTTGGTTACCTTCCTAAATAAATCTTTGTGATAATTCAAGCTGTTGTACATTTTAGGATAGAAGCTCTCATACACCTTGCCAAGATTCAATCGTAACCCAAAAACTAATATGCGACACTCAAGGATGTGGAACGCATACAACCCTGACCCGAACAATATAAGAAAAATTTAACACCATCGCACACAATTGACACACCTTTTAATTTTGTGCTGTGGTATACCATGAGCATTGTGCATTACAGGTGCTAAAGGCCATGCAAAAGACATGTGGCATTCAATGTTTATATTACTTGACCATCAAAACCATTAAAGGAAATTGCACTAGAAAGTATTATCCGAATTTGGTCTATAATTTATTCCATGTGAGTGTACTAAACAATTATATAGGGAAACTTCTCTGGCTATACAATTTAAAACAGTTTCATTTGTGGTAAGTAGCCACCAATTTTTACCAAGAGTTTACCTCCCATCCAACTTTGTTTTGTTCATTTATTTCCTCTCGCCACTACTCCATCTAATAACTATATCCATGACCGACCAAATGCCACACAAGGCTGACGTGAAAATTTACCAACAACAACAAACTCAATGTAATCTCACGGCTGCAATTTAAGGAGGGTAGTGTGTACGCAAACTTTATCCTTACCTTATAAAAGAAAAGAGGTTGTTTCCGATAGACCTTCAACTCAAGGAATAAATAAAATAAAGTAACAAACAATAGTAACAACAATATAATAGGAGCGAATGATACAACATGTAATAATAAAGAATAAGAAAAATACAAAAATAGTACTAGTACTACTGATAAGATTAAGAGACTAACGACTACCTGTCAACCTTCCACCTTGATTCTCGACCTCTACCTTTTCATATCAAGAGTGTCCTCGGTAAGGTGGAGCAATGATATATCATGCTTAATCACCTTATCCCAATACTTCTTTGGCCTACCCCTACCCGTCATTAGACCCGCCATGGTCAATCTCTCACACCTTCTGATCGGGGCATCTAAGGCTCTCCTTTGCACGTGCCCAAATCATCTCATCCTCGATTCCCGCAGTTTGTCCTCCACCGAGGCCACACCCACCTTATCCATAATAACTTTGTTGCTAATCTTGTCTTTTCTGGTATCCCCACATATCCATTTCAACACCCTTATTTCAGCTACTTTATAAACTGACGTGAAAATTTACCAAACAAATTTTTTTTACTGAAATTGAGCTTTTCAATTTGACGAATTTTTTGTCCGTTGATTTTTTATTTTATTTTGTATGGTATTTGAAATTCACTGGCTCATCTAGTTCAGATTCACATAGTGTACGATCCATTAAAAGAAAAAATGATGTCTTCAAAAGTTTCTACATCCCATTACTCGAACCCGAAACTTTTGGTTAAAGTGGTTATAATATCAACGAGTTCATGATTTCAAAAGTTAAAATGCAAAGATTCAGCTACTATCTTAATCCATTTCTTAATCTAACCAGAGATTTTAAATGAGCAAATCAAATATAGAGGCCGACCTTTTCATTTCAAAGCCACTATGGATTTTAATCCCCGTACTACAATTATTAAGGATTGTTGATACCTTTTAATGTTGGGTAATTACTGACTTTGCTTATAGTTAGAAAGTTATATATTCAAATATTAATTATTTGCGAGCTTGTAAAAGATTTATTGAAAAGTTAGCCGAAAAGAATGAGTCCCGAAAATACAAATATAAGATAGTCTACAATCCAAGCTCTTCGATTGATTAATAAAAAGTCCTTAGGTTGTCAATGTGAAATTGGTAATTTAACTAATTTTTATCACAAAAAATACTTCGAATTGTATTTTTTATACTTCAAAAGGAAAAATGAGAAGACAACTCAAGTAATCTCCGAATACTCAAGTTGATTTTCTGAGGAGTCGTCTTCTATCTATCTCAATTTTTTTAATTTTTGATTTACATTCTAACTGTTATGTAAACTGATTGAACAATCTTAGTTACACGTTCTTTTTCGGATGGTACATGTGTTACGTCTATTTTTTTAACCAATACAAGAAGTTCATTACGACGAAGAACCGAAAATTTTTAAAATTGATAAAAGCCAAAATCTCTAACTAATTGTATAAAAATAAAAGAAAAGTGGATTAACACGTTTCATAAGTAGTAAAAACTAAAAACTGGAAATTTTGAGAACCGATAAAAGCCAAAATCTCTAACTAATTGTATAAAAATAAAATAGAAGTGGATTAACACGTTTCAGAAGTAATAAAATTACTGTACCTTTTATCCCCACATGTTCTTTTCCTACCAGCGCGTGTCAAAAAGCCCACAATTTCTTCTCACCTTTGTAACTGTTCGTCTGAATTCAACACAAAAAGCCATGGGTTTTCCCAAAATAAGAAAAAAGGAAAAAAACAAATAAAAGTCTGTCCAAAATTCCAACTTTGAATTCTTCACAACAAATCAAAATCCACCGTTCACCACTTCACCTACACAATCCGATGAACTCCTCACAACAAAGATTATCCTTCTAATTTTACATAAATGCAAGACACATCCATTTTGATTCTAAAATTACACTTTGTTCCATTTAATTTGATACTTTTATAACAACATTTCGTGAGTGGACATTCATTTACTTGAAAAAAATTAAAATTTTGTAACTGGAAGAAAAATTTTTACCAAAAAATTAGCCCAAACTAATTTTAAGAATTTTAAAAAAAAATTCTTCAATTTTTTTTCCGAAAACTGATCAAATTCCCTGAGCAAATACAATGTTTTATTATTTTTTGAAAAAGTAAAAAAAATCTTTGTCCAAACGGGAGCTAAGTTTAAGACATTAATTTGATTTGTGTATGTATAAGTGGTAAGACAATAAGATATTGAAACAACGGCTAAAAGGCTAATCATTATCAAACTCAATGAGTGTTATTTATAATGTCACATTTAACCTACAGATTGAACAAATTATAAGATAGAAAAAATCAAATCAACTAGTGTTGTTGATGTATGCATCAACATCTTTGACATCTAAATTTAATTGGTTTGCATTATTAAAAAAATATTAGAATTTGAGATATCTTTCAAGAAATGTGTTTAACTTAAGTTCTATTATCAAACTTGATGAGTGTTATTTATCACATTTAGTTTATAGTCTGAATCAATTAAAAGATAGGAAAAGATCAAACTAACAGGGGTTGTTAATGTATCTATCAACTTCTCTGAAATATTAACTTAATCGTCTGCATTATAAAACTAAAAGAATATAAGATATCTTCCAAAAAATATATTTACTTTTGCAATTCACTCTTTTTCTTTAGGTGAATAATAAATATTTTTAACGGTAAAAAGCACATTAACCCTATAAACTAACACTATACTAATTTAGTATTGAATTGAAGCATAACCAACCCAAAAAACCCTATAAACCAACACAACACAATTATCAAATGCGAAGATGGAAAAGAAAGAAATGCCAACTTGGGAGCCAAAGTGTCGTAATTCTTAAACTCAGAGAGGGGACCATTTGAAATATGATAAAGTAATGGGGAAGTTAATACAATTGACTCAAACTTGTAACTTAAAGACGAAAATTCCAGGAATATTACGACTAAGCCCACCAAAATAAAAAGAAAAAACATCCCCCATCCTTTTTCTCTCTCTTCTTTTTTCTTTTCTTCTCATTCGACAAGTACGAAGAAGAAGGAGAAGAAGAAAGAAATTTAGTGAGAGAAAGTTTAGAGAGAGAGTTGAACCCACAGTTTTCAGCTAAAACCACTGGGATGACAATTTCTAGGGTTTTGTGAATTTGATAAGAAATTTCAGAGGAAAGAGGAAAATTGAACTCTGAGATGGAAATGCCAGGTAGACGATCGAATTATACTTTGTTGAGTCAAGTTCCCGACGATAATTTCCTTCCTCCGCCTTCGAAGTACGGAGGTGGCGGCGGAGGAGCTCAGTATTACGAGTCTCATTCTGGCGAGAAGAGTAATAAAGGCAAAGGAGCAGGTGATAATAGAGGATATGATTGGGATTTGATTGATCACCGTATGATGCAAGCGCCGACGACAAATCGGATCGGTGCGGCGGCACCGTTTCCAGGTTCGATTGGTTTACAAAGGCAATCGAGTGGGAGTAGCTTCGGTGAGAGTTCGATCTCCGGGGAGTATTACATGCCGTCGTCGCTTTCTAATGCTGAAGCATCGTTTGGATATCTCAATGACGGTGGCGGTGGCGGTGGCGGTGCTGAATTGAGGATGAAGCCGTTGGATGCTGCTAATTTGTGTGGCTCATCTTCTAAGAGTTGGGCACAGCAGACTGAGGAGAGTTACCAGCTGCAGTTAGCGTTGGCTTTAAGGCTCTCTTCAGAAGCTACGTGTGCCGATGATCCCAATTTCTTGGATCCTGTGCCTGATGAATCCGCTTCCCGTGCTTCTGCTTCAGCTGCTTCAGTCGAGACCGTTTCCCATCGATTCTGGGTATGGTTAAGGGTTATTCGTTTGTGTTGATTTTTTCCCCATGTCTATATTTATTTGTATGTGTGCCTCTTATGCTTTAGGAATGTGTTGAACAATTCGCATTGTACACAAAAAAAAACAAAGAATTGGTTTGGATACCAAATCTTTGAAATAGGCAATAGATTGGTGCTGAGGAGTGTTTGGTTTGGTATAAATGTAGGTGACGTAGATTAATAGTAAAAGGTGGAGGACGGGGTATTATGGTAGTGTTTAGGTGATAACAATAATGTCTAATGTTTAACTGTGGAGAGAGGACAATGACTTCTGTCCAAAAATAAGGAGGAAAAGCCAATTCCCTGTTGTCAGCGAAAAAATTTCCTGGGGAAAACATTTTCACGATGTAAGGTGATATTCTCCTGGAAAGCAATTTCCTTCATACCAACACACAAAATTCGTAATGAATGTGTTTCTTCAAATGTAAGTGCACTTAAACAGTTGTCATATATTAAAATCGTTGGATCCTTTTACAACCAGTGTTATCAAAGACGAAAAGCGTAAAGCGCAAATAAAGCGTGGGCTTTAATGAAAAAAGGCGCAACTGGAGAAAAAGTAAAAACATGTATATGTAGTCTAAGACTTATAAAATAAGCATGAATAACAAATATATGGACAAAAAAATTGGAAAAAATTTACGATAAAGTGAAATATCAATTGTTTAATGATGCCTTTTCAGGATTACACTCATTGGCAAGTAAAAGTATGCCTAAGAGCCTTGATGCGATACTAAAGCGCCCACAAAGCGAGGCGAAACGCTCAACATGTTTTGAGCCTCGCTTCAGGGCTTAAGCGCGTTTTAAGCGCGCCTTTGACAACACTGTTTACAACTCCTATAAAGATGAGTAGCTTCTATAGTAGTACTGCATCCTGATATCTCTAGAATATGTCGAGACTAATGTGTCACGTAATGTGGAGTTCAAGAACGAAATTAATTGTTTTAGTCTCTCAGAGGTTGCCTAACATCTTAAGCTACTCCGGTAGTGTTGTAACGAGATATACAGTGGATATCCATCTTTTATTTTCCACAAATAATTGGAAGTTGTTCTTTTTCTGTGAATGACAGTTTCCTTTCTCATTGTATAATGCAACATCAATGTGGAATGGATTCTTTTCAAATCGGCAGTGTGTATTGTGGTATTCTTTTATCATTATATAAGTACAGGTTAATGTGTTAAGTGTTTCATTCAAAATCTGGTTGACCGGCTATCTAATTCTTGATTGAAAAGGAAAACAAAGGTTGTTATCCACTTTAAGGTATTGTATACCCCTTAGACCCTTTTTTTTTTTATTTTGCACCGGGTGTCCGAGTCTCTTTGAGCCCCGACTAATCCCGGGGGTGCACAGGCCCTCGGCAAGGAGTTATGTTTACCTGATAGACCCTTATATGGTTGTCTGCGCTCTTGATGCACCTGCAGCTTAAGTATGATTCGTAAGGAGATATGTTTACCTGAACTGACATGAATTTTTTACCCGACACATAACCTTACTGGAAACGATGATGCCTGTTACTTTTAAATTTATACATAGGTCAGCTTGTATAGGCACATAGAAGGTAATAAAAGGTAAGGCCCTTTTACTATTTTTGATACATTGTATGAATAATCGATGTGTGTGGTACAAACTACCGAGAAGATTCCCTTTATCAATCCATTATGGAGGAGAATTTGTAAACTCTTGTCTAGAATATTCAAGACAAATTATGAGACCCATACTCGTTCTACATATAGTATGTGCATGATTGATGAAGATAACTCTAAGATCCAGTGTATCCAACCAATACAACATAATATCCAAAAACAGTATTGCGATATAGGAATTACTTCATAATTTATGATCGCTCCATAAAATTAATTGAAAAGAGTGTTAAAGCAATAGTTGTAATTGTGTTTCAGTAAAAGGAGGTCCAAAATAGAATAAAATTGATTTCTTTTGAGTTTGAATTTTAATGTAGTATGAAGTAGATCACCCGATACCCACTAAAGAAGATAAAAGGACTTTTACATTACACATTTTTCATAAGGTGTTAATGAGAGTCTTTTGTTTATTGATTAAAAAGCATGTTTTTCATAATGTGTTTATGAAATCTTTTGCTTGCTGATTAAAACAAACACGCCGGTGGAAGTGGAGAAGAATTGTATCGCGTGGATAAAAGTTTCTCTTTTGGAGAAGTGGATGAAGTTCTGGATAAGCGAAAAAGAATCGGCTTTTGTTTCGGGATTAGAAGAGTAGAAGATATTTATAGAATATTACAGTGCCATGTGATTGTTATTGCATCTTACATAAATATTCATTTCTTTTTTGGGCGTCGACTCCCTAGGTTGCCCATTGGGGAATTATCTTGTACAGTGAATTAGTTTAAGTTTAATGACATACTTTCTAAGACTACCATTCTGATTACTTTTCTTATTCCTAAACTTAGAAGTGCACGCTTCAAATCTTATTTACATTGATAGGTTGGCCTGGAAACGATGTCTCTGAGAATTCAGGGTGAAATTAAGTATAATCTAGATAAAGTAAGAGTATAGAAGAAAACAGCTAGAAAGCAGCTCGGTGCCCTAGATAAATTTGCAAAGGATCTTGAAGGTTGCAATTTAAAACAATGTACTTTGTTTAGTATTAAAAAAAACTGGAAGAACATAGTAGAAATGGGACAGAACCCATGTTACAGATCACAAAATCCACTTCAAAAGTGTGATTTTTCATTCTATTCTTGGTTTTGTTTGTGCGCCGGGTTCTGAATGTCTATATCTGAAGATCCGCACATTGTTTCTGATGTTCTTCCTAGAATTTTTTGTATTAGAAGTAAAACGGTGTTCCCTTGGATGGAAGTAAAAAAATTATTCTCTTCTATTAATAAACTGGATAACATTTACCTAATATGTAAGATCGTTTCGATTCATGAAACTGGAATGAGAATCACCGTCCTACTTAAACACCGTCCTACTTAAACATGGGGTAGGCTTCGATAGATCATATATTGTATAAACTCAAAAATAACAAATACATTAGAATGTTACTTGAAAATTTAACATAATACAATATTTATAAGAAAACATTTTTAAGAATCTTTTAGATTAAGTCGAGTTGTTTTTAGATTAACATTGTTGCGGAATCTCTTGAGAGTTGAGACGAGGTTAATTATTTGGAATGGAAGATCGAGTGTTTGATTTTAGCATTCCAAAATGATACGTGCATCTTAATGATTACATCAATATGGAGTTAGTGGGTTTAACAACCCCACTGCCACTTTAATTGGTTGTGTTCCCAGCACTAGTTTAAAATTTGAATGTCTAGTTTTAATTTGGCATGGAGTAGAAATTGTGGATTAGCACATATCCAGTGACAGCATGTTGAGTTAGTAGCCGCCTTTTAATCGGGGAAATTAGGACGGAAGAAGAAGTGAAATTTAACAACTTGTTTAACTTACCTTTAAGGAGAGTGGAATGTCTAGTTTGGACAAAACATTGATGTGAGCGTAAAAATATGAATTATCTCATATCAAGTAACGTGTTCAGTTTGTAGCTCCCTTTGAAATGTAAGATGGATGAAAGTGAGATTTAACAAATCGTTTAACTTCCTTTTAGGATGCTATAAGTGCTTTACTAAAATTGAATGCTCAATTTGGCGGCTCTATCAAAAAGATTGGAACGTGATGCAATCTCTTTCCTCAATTCTACATCAGCAGAAGTCAAGACAAAATCCTGAAGAAAGAAAGAACCATTAACTAGCGAAAACCAAATGTTGTTTGCCATCCTACAGATGTCAAAATTCTACTACAATTGCTTAATATTTGACCGTGAATCTAGACAAAAATGTTGGTAACGTATGAATAAAATAGTTGATAGTATATTCACAGGTGTCGTTGTAGCAAACAAATGTAATAACGAGGTGGAAGCTGGCACATTGATGACTTCACATCTTAAATGATAGGTAGGGAGGAGCTTCTCTACTTTAGCAAAGCAAATATTTTCTGACGTGGGAGATGCTTGTAATGATAGAGAAAACATGTTAACTTCTAGTTCGGGGAATGGAGAAACTTCTAGTAAGGAGCGCTTCCCCTTTTAGTGGCCCCCTATACGACGCGATTGAGATTAGTTGGGCCAGTGAGTTTCGAATACCAGATGGTTATACGAAAGAAAAATGTAGACATACATGCCTTTTTTATAACGATGGCGTACAAGCCAATTTTGCGCTCTTCAACTATTCTGTCGAGTACTTGTTACCTCCAATCAACACAAGTATTGGGTACTTTTGCCGATCAAGGCTTAGGCAGATGAGAGAATTTCTATGTCTGCTAGGATTTGAACCCTGGTTGTTAGGATTTGAACCCTGGTCTCCCGTGATTTTCATCCTTCCTTATCTCGTACGACATTTCGATGGAGGAACTTTAGGACATCCTTGGTTTAATGTGCCAAAACGTTTGGAAATATTACCTCAATGGTATTTCTTTCCAGTATTTCAAATACTGTGTATATTGCCCAAGACAATTGTCGATATTGGGCGGTGAAATGGATTTTGGAATATATTTAAAACTTTAGTGAGGGCTAGGTCTCAGTTAGAGAAGAACATGTCATTTTGAGTTAGAATCTAAAATCATCGAGCAATGGATGCAGATGCATTGATTACGCCTTGTTTGTTAAGTTCATTAATAAATCTCATTAGCCGATTCTCGTGCATATTCCTAATATAAAGATCTATTTGTCAATACTAGACTTTTTAGACGGGTGAAAGTGGAGAAACAAAGAGAGGAAAATGAGGTGGGTATTTATTCAGAAGCCTCACAAAGGCTCACAAAGAAGCTTTCGGTGAGTTTAACTGGTCAAAAATTACCCGATTGTCTCATTTGGATATTTTGGTTTTGATATAAATTTGGTTTTCTCTGGAGTGTCTGATCTTTCTTTTATTTTGGACCGAAGATATGAATTGAAGCATGTAAATTAGGGAAAAGAAAAGGATGAGGAGAGGAGCGTTCTCGTTTCATGTACCCTCGTTGATGAAGGTTCTCTACTTTTTAGTATATTGCTTGTATAGCGGAACTTTTTCCAACATTAATGAAATTATTTACCTTATTTTTTTGTTTCATCTACCCTTGTTCTTAGAAATATGATTGCTATGAGGCATATTAGGAAGATGAAGGGGGTAGAAGTTTTTTGTTCACACATGTTAATGTATTGTTTTCACAATGATATCTACGGAAAACTAGCGGTGACTGAATATTTTTCTTCTTTACTGTCTGTTGAAGTAACAAATATGCTTCCATAACTCATGCTGATAAAACAAGCACTAAAATAGTAGTGTGTATGACATCTTATATATTCGGTTGAAGGGTATCTTTGCTTGAGTTTCCGAGTAGTGGAGATATTGGGAGATTAGTTATCTCAAAAACTTCCCTTGAGCGGAGGCTCCGTCTATCGGAAACAACTTCCCTTGAGCGTGCTCATTACCTTCGCAGACGCCCCCACTTGTAGAGTTACACTGGGTTTTTTGTTGTTGTTAGCTATCTCAAAATGGGGCGTTTATGGTTTTTCTGACCTTCGCCTTTGTTTTTCTTGAGAATTGCCGAATCGGCTAAGATCTGCATGGATATTATGTTGCGTGACTTTAACGTTGGTACAATTTCAAGCTCGGTAGAACTCTTTTGGTTTTTACTTTTTTGATAAATATTCCTTAATACATATTTGGCCAGCCTCTCCATAAAAGTAGAATGTCAATCTGTTATGCAGTAGTGCTGAATGGAGCACTGTACTCATTTTGCAGTGATTTGGTTTTGATTTTCAAATTGAAACATTTAGCGCAAAAATTGATCTGTGCGTTGGCACTTTTAACAGACTCTCGATATAACTTGTCTTTAGAATTTTACAAATTAGGCTTTTAGTATATACTGGTCACATCTTAAAGTTCTTTTACAGAAGAGGGTATAGAAGCATAGTTCTTTAACTGAGACTTTCATTTTAGGATAGGCTTAGAATTGTAAGACATTGGAGTCCCAAATTATGTTGGTGAAAAGAAAAACACTCCCCTTCTTCTAGGCTGTGATTCATAGACATTGTTAAATAGTCCAGTCTTCTTTGCTGTGCTGAGTGACATTTGTGTAGTTGTGATGGTTATTGGATCAGAAATACTTGCTACTTCAAAATTGTCTATTACTTTCTTCAATGAGTCCTTCTTGGAGATATGCTTTCAGAATCAGCAGAAGATGCTGCCATATTAAAGATAGATAACTCCCCCAGAAATAGGAGTTTTTAGCAGAATATAGTACTGTGGTTTTTGTGGAAAAGACACTAAATTTTGAGGCTGAGCTGCTTAGGCTATCTTCAGAAGTTCTGTTTCGGAGAAGAGAGTTTTAGGTTTCTTGTATGTAAGATGTGAGCATTGGTAAACCCTCTCTTCCTGTACCAGTCCCTTTCTCTCCATGTGTTTCTTGTTACTGTGCCAATAGGAATGACTCAATAACTATCTTCATTCGTGATTTCGTATCTTGTCATTCTCACCAGTCAAGCAGAATTTACTCTGCTTATGGATTCTATTGTTTTTGTTATTTGTTTTATGTTCTTATGATCTCTTTCTCTGATTGACACAATCATGCTTTCCAGACTTCCCAGGTTTTTTTGCTGAAAGCAATCTGCTTTGAATCTTTGTTCTGTACTAGGTAAATGGATGCTTATCGTACTTTGACAAAGTGCCTGATGGATTTTACTTGATTCATGGGATGGATCCATATGTCTGGATTGTCTGCTCAAATCTGCAAGAAAGTGCCCGCATTCCATCTATTGAATCATTGAGGGCCGTTGATCCCTCTGTAGTACCATCACTTGAAGTGATTTTGATTGATCGGCGTAGCGATCCTAGCTTGAAGGAACTGCAGAATCGGATCCATAACCTCTCGGCTAGTTGCATCACAACAAAAGAGGTTGTTGATCAGCTCGCTAAGGTGGTCTGCAATCATATGGGGTGAGTGCCAGAAACTTCTTATTACAAACTCCGATGAAGTGACATTTCGTGTTTTTCCTTTTTGTAATTTAAGTTTTATTTGTTTTATAAGGGGCACAGCTTCTGCTGGAGAAGATGAGTTGGTTCCTATGTGGAAGGAGTGCAGTGATGACCTGAAGGATTGTCTAGGATCTGTCGTGCTTCCCATTGGTAGCCTGTCTATTGGCCTTTGTAGGCATCGAGCTTTGCTATTTAAAGTATGTTCTAAATGTGATACATTGATACTAAGTTTGCTGTTTTAGAGTTTCAAGATCTACTTATGCCGGAATTTAAGGATCAATATCTGACTACTGGTGTTCTTTTAATTAAGTAAAAATAAAGAAAAAAGCATGTTTTTGCAAATTATGTCTCTTCTGTTTCCTTAGAGTACATTCAATCAGGAGTATTTTGGTTTTGGTGGAACTGTGGAAGTTTGATGTTTTATCATGAATTTCACATGTTCGTTGCAGGTGCTAGCTGACATCATTGATTTACCATGTCGAATTGCGAAAGGATGTAAATATTGTAATAGAGCTGATGCTTCCTCATGTCTAGTTCGATTTGGACTTGACAGGTACAAATCCAAGTTATAAATGATCTCTATGGAATATATTTTTAGTTCATATTTGGCGAAAAGGGGAATGAGAAGTTCACTCTAATTTGAAAGCCATGTTTGTTTGAAAATTTAAATCAATGATAGATAGGAATTGATGTTGCAGTTTTCCTTTGTTTTGAAAACCATATGCCTCATGTGTTTTATTTGTGATAATCAAACTTTACTTCCCTGCTCTAGTATTCATCTGGATAGTATGTACAATTGATTTGAACTTTGATTGTGTTGGCTAAAATCTTTTACCTCGTATTCAGTGTGTAATATGGCCAACTTCTACATTTCTTGACCTTTCTGGTTTTTGCTTTCTTTGAAATGTGTAGAGCTGGTTTGTGTATAGTAACGAAACTTACAATACTAGGATTAGGAAAAATGACAATGATGATGTTTGTTATATTTTTGTGTGGTCTTTCGACAATCATACTGCAATATATGCCTGTAAGATCAATCATTGTATCTAGTTCTTGGCCTATGTTAGTACCAACTGAAGTTTCTCCTTGGACTTGTTAATACCTGCCTCTCCTAGTTTTGGCAAAACCATATTTAATTTGGGGTTAACAGTACATACTGCTACAACCTCGGTGCCAAAGTGAATGGTATTGTTTGGAGTATGTGGGTCACTGCATTTGATATGATTTCAGATATGGATTTCTTTATGTTTTTTAAAGAAAAAAATACGCATCTCGAGACTGCATAAGAGTACTATATATGAAATATAGCTAAAATTGTTTTGAATTTGATTACAAAGATAGTAGTCAAACAAAAAGTTGTTGGACTCCTATACGTAGTAATTGTACCAGTCTTTTTGGATGATAGGAGTATATTGGAGTGACAATGATGTGGTTGATTATTGGTATGATGAGATGGGAATCTTAATATTTGAAAAGACAGATCCTATTGTTAATGTGACTGGAATCGTTTTACCACATTCGTAATAATAATAGATTGTAAAGTTCGTGATTCGATTACAAAGAGGTCCTATCTTATGCTCAGCCCTTAAATGTGGAGAAGAGAAATCAAATGGAAAAAACTAGGAGCAAGTATTGTGTAGCGAACAGCAGGATGTTATTTTTTCTGTGCTTATTTTGACTGGGATTTAGCATGAAAAAATGGTAGTCTTTATCAAAATCTGAAAGTGTTAGTTTTTCTGTACACAGCCAGATATATGCTATTGCTAGTAAGGTTAAGGAGGACATAGACATAGTCTTGATTGACTTCTAGCTCTTCACCATACAGGGAGTACCTGGTTGATTTGATTGGGAACCCTGGATGTTTATGTGAACCAGATTCCTCGCTCAATGGCCCATCTTCTATCTCAATTTCTTCACCATTGCGATTTCCGAGATTCAGAGAAGTTGAACCAACAACTGATTTCAGGTCACTTGCCAAACAGTATTTCTCAGATTGTCAATCGCTTAATCTTGTGTTCGAGGATCCTTCAGCAGGTGATCCTATAAATCTTACCTGCTTGCATGAACAGATACATCTTCGATGCTTATTTTGGTTGTTTCCCCGATGTTAAGCTTGGCCTTTGCAATGACATGATGTGAGATGTTCAGTTTAACACAATTTATAATGGTTTTCTAGCATTAGATGTTCATGTCCCTTAGACCAGTCTTAAGTCTTAACCCAATATTCAATAATTTAGGTTTTCTAACACTAAAAATTCTCTACATCTTTTACTGGCAAACAAATCTACGTCCAAGGTATTCTGTATTTTGAGGATTCATTGTAAAATGAGTATTTTAATACTGGCTGCCAACTTACTACAACCCTCATCATTTATCGGGCTTGAGACCGGCAATGTGAAGGAGCTCAAATAGGCGGTGTTGTTTTAGAAGCTTATGAAGGGGAAAAAAGAGAAGTGTCTTTGCTTTTAGAAAGCCAAGCTGACCTCTTGTATGGTCACTAAGGCCTCCAGACTAGACCAGACCCACACTTCTGAACATTTGATGACCCACACTTCTGAACATTTGATGACCCACGATCTTCTTGGCACCTAATTGGTTTCATAAATTCTTCCGTTGACTAGTTCTCTGGCTTAGTGGATGTGATGACCAAAAGGCTCGACTCACATTGATGAAATTAAGATGTTGAGAGAGAAATCCGGAGTTTGTGGAAAGAATTGACCGAAAAAAAAAGAAAACAGAATATTTCTGCGTTTTTTAAAAATATTATGGTATTTTCTCTTCTTTCACAAAACCAGACTTAATTTACTTAGAGAAGTTGATTATCAGTAGTGAGTAGTCTCCCTGCCCTGAAGATGGGAGCTTTTCTGATCTTAGTCACTTTTAGCATGTCTATATCTAGAGTCTTTCAGTTTCCTATGCAAATGAAGTACTATTTTCTTGACAAGCTAATTCCCTTGATTTGTACTTGAATTTTATACCCAACATGTTCTTCTTTAAGGTTTTTAATTAATATTATTTGTCACAGGAGCTGCTGTTGATGGAGAATCAGGACAAACTGACCGAAATAATATGGAGAGAAACAGTGTAGTCCCTAGTTCAAGTAACCGTGATGAAATTTCTCGGTTACCTGTGCCTCCAATTAATGCATGGAAATTGGACAGGGACATGGTTCCTGTGAAGCATGTCCCTCCAGTTGGGCATGGAGATACTCAACCGCTGATGGCATTATCAGACCCAAGAGAAAGAGGGAATGATATGAGGTTTCTCGAGGGAGGAAGTCAACTTGTTCCTGCTAAACAAAGTAGAGACCTTGCCCTTGAAGTAGAAGAATTCGATATTCCCTGGGAAGATCTTGTTCTGAAGGAGAGGATTGGGGCAGGTAATCCCTGCCTGCTGTTTTTTATCTTCCTTTTTAGTGTCGTGCTATGATCGTCTCATCACATTTTAGTAATAGTGGGATGCTATAGTATCATAACAGCCTCTTTTGATGTAACTAACACGGTTTTTTGTATTTCAGGGTCTTTTGGTACCGTTCACCGTGCTGATTGGAATGGATCTGTAAGATATTTTCCTTTTAGTTCTGTGCTCTTGATACTCATCTTGGTTATATCTCTTTAACTTATTGAGCACTTCGGGGAGGTATTTATTCAGTGTAATTTTATAAATTAATTGGGCATTTGTTTATTTCTATTTTGCTTTTGGCCTGATCCGCCTCTTGAATAAATGTTGTTGTTTTATCTGCTTCTCTCTCTTCTTCTTCTTCTTCTTTTTGGGTAGTAATTGCCATGTCAAATTTGAGATATACCTTTCTGAATTACTCTGTTTGCCTTGCTTTTATTCCTTCATAATTGCATGCTGATGGAAGCTTGCACTTATTAGGATGTTGCTGTGAAGATTCTCATGGAACAAGATTTTCATGCGGAGCGATTCAAGGAATTTTTGCGGGAGGTAATCTAGGGATCTCCCAATCTCCTCAACAAATGACAAGAAAACTGGATGAAAGAGAAAAAAGGGTGTATGAAGATGAGAATGAGCGGATGTCAGTTTTATCATGTGTTTCCCCTAGACCAACTCCACTAACTTGGCTTACCTTTCATTTTTTTTAGGTTGCAATTATGAAGCGATTGCGACATCCAAATATTGTGCTTTTTATGGGTGCTGTCACTCAGCGACCAAACTTGTCCATAGTTACAGAATATTTATCAAGGTTTTCCTGGTAACTCCTCCAAATAATCAGACTTTTTATTTTTCAGTTTAGCTGACGGTGCCAATGTTGCAATTGTATTACAGAGGTAGCTTATACAGACTTCTTCATAAACCTGGTGCGAGGGAGGTTTTGGATGAAAGGCGTCGGTTGTCTATGGCTTACGATGTGGTATGAATGCTTCCCTACTCTGCCACATTTTATTTATCATCGGGGGCTAATTTCGTAATATCATCTTGTGCAGGCAAAGGGGATGAATTATCTACATAAGCGCAATCCTCCCATTGTTCATAGAGATTTAAAATCTCCAAATCTTTTAGTGGACAAGAAATATACAGTGAAGGTGAAAAGTGCAATTTATCTTCTCAAAAAGAAAAAGATTTATCTTTTTCTACTGATACAGTTCTAGACTTACGCTACCAGAGTAGTGCTCTGTGGGGGGGGNGAACAAAAAGCAAGTTTTAAAGGGGTAAAGCTTATGTCAGATTTCTCAGCTATTGGAGAATTAACAATGTACTGATGCTGCAGAGAGGATTAAATTCCATAATATATTTTATATATATATTATTGAAGATTGTACATTACACTTTTGGTTTTGTAGGCACGTTTAGGTCCAGAAGTTTCTCTGTCATCCAAATGGACATTGACCATCTGGAACTATGGTTGTTCAATCGCCATGTAACTAGGATGTTGGTATTTGATCATCTGGCACAATGCTAATGTGCTGGATGAGCATGTTTCAAGACATTAAGACTCTACGAGGAGGAAGGCATTTTAGTGTATTTTAGTTTACTATGGAGATAAGTGTGAGAATATAGGGAACTTCTAGTCTTAGAGAACCCATATGTGTGTCAACGAACAAATTATTGCGTATTGGAATGAGACATGTCAAAATGGAGCAGAATGAATGTAGAGGATTCTTACTGCTGATCCCCACTAGTGTGGGATTGAGGGATAATAGTACTAGTTGTTGTTCTATTGTATTTTGGTTTATTATTCATTACGTCTCATATTTGTGCATTACATTTGCTTGCCACATGTCTAATCATTTGCTTCTTCTCTTCTCCAGAATCTCTTATTCAACCAGTTTCTTTAGTTCACTAATGATTTGTAATAGATGTCTTTCCTCTTAGGAGCATGTATTTGGGCTGTTCTTTGTGACAAGTTGAACCCATCATGAACAAAATCTAAGATCTTGATTATCTTATTTCTTTACAGCATGCACACAGGAAATCGTACTGAGATCTGATTGATAGTGTTATTCTGATGTCAAGCAACAAAATAGAAAGGAGATGCATTTTTAATACATCTCATTGCTTAATGTCAGTGATATGTTAGAAGCATCTGTTTTTCATAGCTTAGCAGCATGCATAGTGTAGTGTGATTGTCTCTTAGTTGTGTCTATTTGTTGTGTCTATAATGCTTTATGATGACAACTCTTACTCAAAGTTGTTTATGATAAATAATTGTGTTTTGTTATGGTGTTTATTTTTGCATATTCTGTAAATCTTTTATTTATTGAAGCTACCTTTTATTACTAGCAAAGATGCTGCATGTCCCTCACCTGTTTTATGTTTTCGTCAGGTCTGTGATTTTGGTCTTTCTCGTTTAATAGAGAACACATTTCTCTCATCAAAGTCGGCTGCTGGGACTGTAAGTTCTTCATTCAACATATGATTTGTTTGTCTTTTGTTCATCTTTGGCACTTTGTTTCACCAATGAGATAAAGGAGTAAATATTGTCTGGTTCTTCTTGTGATAGCCGGAATGGATGGCACCTGAAGTTCTTCGCGATGAACCATCAAATGAGAAATCTGATGTATATAGCTTTGGTGTCATTTTGTGGGAGCTCGCGACGTTGCAACAACCCTGGAGTAATTTGAACCCGGCACAGGTTTGCATTTCTAATTTTTAAGTCCATTTGTCCACACGGGTATTTAAGGTAAGTACGAAAAAAGTTGGGAAAAAAAGATGTGGATAAAACAGTATCCTGTGGATAAAACAGTATCCGGCACAGCAGAGTGCTTGATTTTTTGTCTCGGTAGCTAGGTGGGAACAACTTTCTGGTACCTCTTTTGCAAGCATTGATTTTATGTTAGAAAGAGAACTTGGATCTGTTGATTATTTGCAACATTACTTGGCACTTGTATTGCATCTTAGTTTTATTTTAAAGTGGAACATATGCATTGCTGTTTTTATTGGTATGTTCATCTTTAAGAAGTTGCTGGTAAAGTTGCTGCCATGTGACCAGGAGGTCACGGGTTCGAGCCGTGGAAACAGCCTCTTACAGAAATGCAGGGTAAGGCTGCGTGAATAGACCCTTGTGGTCCGGCCCTTCCTTGGACCCCGCCCATAGCTGGAGCTTAGTGCACCAGGCTGCCCTTTTTTGTTCATCCTTAAGAAATCAGGCAAGAGGCAGTGTCTATCCATTCTTGTGATTGCTGTATTGGTGTAATGCATCTGAACCTGTAGGTTGTAGCAGCTGTCGGCTTTAAGGGGAAAAGACTTGAAGTTCCACGTGACTTGAATCCTCAAGTAGCAAGCATTATTGAGGCTTGCTGGGCCAAGTATGTTGGTTATATTCTTCCATAGTTTCACATTGACTTTTCGATTGCTTTGATGTGCTCTTGAAGTTACTTCTGATAATATTGCAGAGAACCATGGAAACGTCCCTCCTTTTCTGCAATCATGGATATGCTGAGACCACTAATTAAACCTCCTGTGACACCTCCTCAACCAGGTCGTACGGACATGCAGTTGCTTACATGAATGCGTGTATTAAATGTATGATTTCTGCACATATTTGGCATTCTTTGTTAATCACCTTTCTGGGAGGAACAAGGCTTCAGTTACTTCAGGTTCGGTTCCTAAAACTCTCTTTTTCTTTTCACGAAATCTCTCTCTTCATTCTGCTAAATTTTGCATTTCCCTTGGTGTGTTGCTCCAATTTTAAGTCAGCGCAAAACTCTGCAATTAGTTTCCACAATAGCATTAGAATATTTCGTTGGAATGTAACCTTCTTGCGGTGAGGTTTCTTGGGTTAATGGGATACTCTGAAGTCTGCTGGTGCATTTGAGGTTCTATTTAGTAGATAGGAGTGGGCATATAGTTAGACTGGACATGGCATCAATAGCAACAAATTATTCTGAGGCCCAGTCTTAGCAAGTATCGGTGATTGTAGCAAATATCCGCCTTCACTTATCTTTCTTTGCTGTTTCTTTTGATGGTAGATGACTATGTGAGTTTGCAACCATTGCTAGGATGAAGTACATTAATAACTTTCTGCTGTATAGAATGCTGAAGCTTGATATCTACGATCAATGTGCTTTTTGCAGGCGTCTGTTCTGTACATATTCGTTCAGAATGTTTTGTAGAGCCCGTAATTTTTTTCACAAATTCAAGCAGCCATTTCTCTGAGAATACCATTTGCAATTGGCTTGTACGCTTCCTCCTGGAATATTTGTTTAGCCATGTGATTTTGTTAAAGCCAGCTACAACAGTTCTTCAATTTTCTGCCCAAAAATGATTTTGTATGTATAAGAATTATAACGAGAAGTTGTATTATAGGAAAGCACACTTTGAGTTAGCTTACATGCAATCTCTGTCTCATGTTTTTACTGGAGTAATAAACAGATAGTGTCTACAGTTTCTAAATCCGTTATTGCTGAAACTTAGGGTTTGTGTTGTTTCGGTGAGAGCTAGCCGCTTAACAATGTGAATTCCTGATGATTACTCAGATTTCGTTTTGGATATTATTGAAAACAAAACCCTCATTTTATCACTTGAGTGACAAACTCACTTTTCTCCAGAGAGTTTGACCAACCTTTTGGATGACAACGCTATTCTGAAACCTTTAAACACCTGAAATATATCTATTGAAGATATTCTTTAGCTTCCTAACAACTCGAGCATGAAGAAAACAGAACGTATCTCCTTTTTCTTTTTTCCATATACAAGCTTCCGAGT